AACATAGAACGCGAGATGCAGTGCGAACGGGGAAGGAAAAGCAGGTAAGGGGATCTCCACGCGTGCGCCCCACGCGCCCGCTCCACACACGCTTCAAACTCCCGCTCCATATTGACTATTGGCAGAATCGGCGAAAATGACGACTTCAAAGAGAGTTTTAATAAGTTAAGGTGAAGTAAGCCAGTTTAGACCTTCGCGAGGCTGACTGTTCCAAAGTTTTCTTCCTTGGTTCCCATGGCCGGGTTGTTCAAAGCCCGATTACGCTAACCCAGTTTATATTGTTTTTCCCTTTGATTTTGATTAATTTCAAACTACCCAAAAAATTAAGGGGTGAAATACATTTTTATACAAGCAAAATTGATACTTCGGTTAGCGTTTAATCGTGGGTTAGCGTTGACCGGTTTTTAAACAACCCCCCTTGGGTTAGAGAGAGGTAATGACCCCAGCCTGCGCTCAAACCCAAACGTCTCACTTCGAAGTCCACTTCGTCAATAATCATACCGCTGCATCTTCCAATCATAGTAGAATCAATGAAAGCCGAAATCTTCGCTAACAGAATCACTCTATTGCGATCTATAGGTAAGAAAGATATGGCCATATTGAAGTTCTCGGTATTGGACTGGAACTAGCTTGAAATTGAGGCTCATGCTGGGAATATCATAAAAGACTCCCTGCATTAGCCTCAATTCCAAGCTAGTTTCAGTCCAATACCGAGAATACGAATATGGCCTAAGAGGGAGAACTGGCAAAGGGGAGCAGCTATAGAATTCCTTGTAAAAGTTGACACGTTACCTGATCCCGAAGGTCAAGATGCAGGAGTTTATATCTCGTTGATCCAATAACGGTGAAGTCTCTTTTTCTTGCGAGTGATGATATGAGCTGTATCATAGTGCGACTTCCACACTTCCCTACTCGATTGTAAATAATCCTCTTCTGTAGAGAAGGGATGAGAGATGAAAAGAAAATTGAAGTGGTAATTTTATATAACCAGAAAATTACCCTTACAGATCAAACCATTGAGGCTTACTTATGTAACAAATTCAGTTGACTGATACTCTCTCATCCGCAGAGAATCGGATGTAAATTATAGAAATCGGTGATGCGAGGTGAGTGCAGGCGACACTGCAGGCTCAAAGTGGATCCCGCGCCTGCACTCACGCGGCTAAGCGGATTCTCTCTACCTCCCAAACACCCTTTGATCATCTGCAGAGGAGAGAGAGCGACTTGTAAGCTGCTCCAAGTTTGTGTAAAAAGGAAGATAACAGTTTACTAAGGGCAAGGTGCACAGTAAATCCTTAGTTTCTAAATAAGGAGATTAACCTGTATACATGAAGAAACCAATTGTTTTGGTGTATTTTATTTCCTGTCGAAACTCCGTGTATATCCATAGGTAGTTATTGAAACGTTTGAATTGTGCTGACATAGGATTTAAATAGGTCTTGAAACCAACAGGAAAAGGAAATTACCGGAACTTTAATTGATACATACCACTTTCCTTGTTGATGTTACTGGAACAAGATCTAGAAATAAGAGCATATTTGGATAATTTTACCATTATTATCTTTTGATGTGTGTTAACAAGAGACCACGACCAGTAACAGAGTTAAAGTAGTTCCTCTCAAGTGTTCTTTTTAGATTACTCTTGTCTTCCCAGGAGGGTTTAAAAAAACCGACCTTTACTCGCTTGGACACGGTCCACGAAAACGTCCACGCTACTCGCGTGGTACTGACAACGTTATCCGCCGGAGAACTGGATACCAGTTATCAGCTATCGGAAAATAATTTGAGATAGACTACCTCGAGAATTGGTTTAATGCGACACATGATCTAGATATTTCTAAGTCCGCCAACTGATCGAGCTTCAAAGAGCTGCAACTAAAGACCAACTTTTTCATCATAACTCGCGTACACACGCACATAATTGTGCTTCCTTCGAATAAGAGCTCCTTTCTAATTAACACTCCCTATTGTGTACCGTTTTTTTTATTCAATTAGCATCCCTATTTTAATAAGCACGCCATTTCGAAAGTGATTTTTAAGACAATGACGTAAAATAGACTGATCAGAGGAAAGCATTGTCAAAAGGAAATGAGCCTCCGTCGCCCTCCCCTCTCCCTTGCATGGGCTCCAGTCCCTAGCGCTTAACTGAATCGTTACAGTGGGTACTACATCTTTTTGTTAACACGTTTTAAATAGGGTAGAACTTCTTGTGGCTCAAAAAGTTGATTCCGTGGATTTGATTTATTACCTGTATGTCCCGCAATCATTATTCTCGTTTTCTTATTAGTTTTTTTTTCTTTTTATGGGCGAGAAAAGGTAATCGCGCTTGGACAACTCCTTGAAATTAATTAAAAAAATAATAATAGATCCCAAAAAGGCGAAACAGAATACGAATTATAGCAATTATTTTGCAGAAAAAGTTACTCACTAACTAATGAGCTGGGCAACGTTTGAACGTGGATAAACTCAGGCACGAGATCTTTTGCCCAAGATTTTAATTATAAGTTGTAACGTTTGTGATGCAAAAACGCGACAGCAGCTGTTTAAACTAGCACAAGATGAGCGAAGTCTTAAACATTAATTTTCTCGTGTATGCAAGGAAAATGTCTTGTGACCAGAAATACGCCATGAATTGAAGAAAATTCTATTGTGATGTAATTCCAACTTGATTCATAGCTGGATGAGAGCTGATTTCTCTCAGTGCTCCATCTAAACACTGACGTAAGAGGAACAATAGTGCATGAAAAATGGAAATAACATTTGAATTGTCACTTTTGTACGGAGGTCTACTATTGTTTGTTAATTTTTCTCCATTGATTGTTAATTGTCAAGAAAGGAAAAGATTAAAATGACATTTTAACTTCTGACGGCTAATCGTGAAACCTCAGTCATTTTAACGATTTCGTCGAGACTTGATATTTCGCCGATAAATCGATAGATAAAGCGCTTTCAAGACAATAGGAGAGCAAATCGAAACCACTTTACCATAAAAGTGTGTCAACTATTTGATTTATAGCAAGCACACAGGAGATGTTCCAAATGATTAAAATTTACCGATCCCAATTTCGGAGCCAATCGACTTTTAATTGGCCCTATACGAGTCTACTAACGCATTCAAACGCGCTTTCCTTCACTTTGTCGCTCTTCTAAAGAGAATGTAGCAGCAATGAGTACTAGAGATTACCACGGGAACAAAAATGTCTCAAAAAAGTCTCCCATCACAGTGAAGCAATTTGTTCAAGTTAAATATCCCGCTAATTTGAACTCGGTAATTTTAACTCCTCGTTATTTCGAACTAAAAACCATTTGCCTTGGACTGATTTGCTCGACTATAGAGGTTTTGCACGGCAGCCATGTTGCATGGCAGGAACAATAGATTCTTTTTCCTATGGGAAAACATGTTCTTTCTAATGCAAAACATTTTCATTGTTCCTGCTTTGTAACATTGCTGGAGTGCAAAATCTCTATTTCGAACTCCCGCCAGTTTGAACTATTTTTCGTTTCCCCCGAGAGTTCGAAATAGAATTGTTCAACGGTATATCGTGCAACAAAAAAAAATTACTTCGGTAGGAAATTATGTGCATTGCAGCTGCGCATTTGTCGATCCTCAAACGGAATCGTTTGTGGTCTTTAGTGAATAAATGACAGTATTAAAAGAGCGTACCGAGAAATTGTAAACGTGTAATCCGATGACAGAAAACAGAGGAAAAGGTCAGTTAATTTGTAACCTCGGCTCTAACTGCGGTTTCGTTGTGGCATGACAAAGACCAAAGATTGCTAGAGAAACTGAACAGTTGCTAACGCCAAATGGTTGGCATACAGAGAAAAAACAGGGGTCTGGCTACATCCTCTCTTAAACTCAATCCCATCTTCCAAAACACTGTCTGTGTTCGCTGACGGAGGAACGACCTCACCGGAAACTGATACAACACAGGCATAAAACTGAAGGACTATTTTAAAAGCCAGACTTACCTTGCCAGCTGTGGATATTATAATAATGCCTTTCCTCGACATCTGTAACTCCCCTGATTATGGAAGATTCTGAAGATTTGATACTTGAATAGTGTGACCCAAAATATGAAAAAGTAGCTACTATGACTAACATGAAGGCGATAAGGAAAAGAAAAAGAAACTTCAATCTCTGCCGTGTTGTCTGCATGATGTGGGCCGACGCACAATTATTCCCGAACGCGTCCGTGATTTCAGCGTTTAGTGATTATGTAAACTCCTGTTAGAGTCAATAAAAGCGCGAGCGACCGAACCATATTGATGAATGGTAAAGCAAATAACACGAATATTGAATGTTTGCATGTGGCATGTGTCATCTCACGAGATACCGCTGTACATTGTCGTCCCCGTGAAAGATGAACGGGCAAAAAATGGCGCCGAACCAAACTTGATTTTGAAAGATGACTCGGTACGAGTAATTCGAAAGTGAATTCTATTTGTCGTCATATTGTATAGCTGTTATTGTTTTAGGGCTAGGTGCATTGTTTCTGTTGTTTCTTTCATTGTTCTCTCAAAGGGTATCGGGTATTTCACCTGTAGTGTTCGTAAGGGGGGTGCTCGTAAGTGCGCCTAGAATTGTTTTCTCCAAAAGTAACTATGACCATTTTCGTGTCGCGAAACTGTTTCTAGTAGTACACGCAGGCTCTTCCGAACATAGGTCCACCGAAAAAAGACATTTGAGCAACAAAACTCACAACTTATTGTAGGAAATTTCTGGGCATATTAAAAGGCTTAGAACCACTCACTTCAAGGGCTTTTTACTTCAAAAGGTCAGCTCAGTCCTTCTACATCGTTCAGCGATGTCGTTTTAAAGCTATTAAAGTGATTATTCCAGATTGATGCATTAATTGACGATTGCAGTGGATTTTGTACTATGCTAGTTTTTGATCTTACACTGCGTTACACTGTGTTACACTGTGTTACAAAAGAATTAATAATGAACTATTATATTGCACCAGGAAAAAGTCCCCGATTATGGCTCCTGATTGCACAATATATTAGAACCCGTTTTGAGCGGACACCCTGTATTAAGCGGACACTAGTGGGGGTTAGGTTTCACTGTAACAAATAATAAATTTAATGAAGAAGAGTTAAATTAAAATGACATTTTAACTTCTGACGACTGATCTTGAAACTTCATTTTCGCGAAATCAGAGATTTCAAAACAAGACAATTTGAGGAGAGCAAATCTAAACCACTTTTCGACAAAAGTGTCAACTATTTGACTTGTAGTAAGCATACTGAGATGTTCCAAATGATTAAAATTTACCGATCCTAATTTCGGAGCCAATCAGTTTTTAATAAGCCCGTCTACGAGCCCGGAAAAGGGGGGGGGGGGGG